TTTTCCTATGAAGCGTAACATTTAGTTAATAAATATTAAAGTTGCAGCCATATAAAAGTTTATACTTTGACCGTATAGAGAACTCATACGCCATGGCAAACAAGTAAATCAGGCAGGTAGGCAAGTAGTAGCACATCGTTTAGCTTTGAGTTTTAAAACCCAGTGTTGTATTAATGCACTCAAATAGATTATCAAAATGCCACATAGATCCCGAGTCTACTTGACTACTTGCCCGCCAGCCTTATTTACTCGTTTGTCATGGCGTATGAGTTATCTATCATCATAAACATTTAGTCCGGTCGAAATATTTAGAAACGTTAAGACTAAGAAATATACTGGAGCATCGGTCAAAGAGGAAAGCAAGGCTTCGAGCGATGCGGCGATAAAAACGTTAATATTTCAATAAGAAGGCACATAGTAAGAGCAAAGTAAGCGCACGTAACTGAGATTTATTAACAACAGTTACTTTCTAGATCCAATCCCCTCAATGATGCCGCAGTAGGTCTGAGAGTTACTGTGTTTGTAGTTCTTTAGTTTTGGCGTTCTGCGTAGGGATTTAGAACTAGTCAATAACTTTGACCCTTCTAGGGTACTTAGTTGCAATCTGTAGTTTAATACGCTCACATAAATTTCGTCCACTGATTCCAAAACCAACCAGAAGAGAGTTTCATGGTTTAAAAATGGGTTGAAAATTGTAGCCAAAATCGTCGTTTAAAAATTTCCGTATTTGTGTACAGTGGTTGGTGAAAATTGTTCAATTTGGTTTTGCTTTGTATTTGAAATTAAGCTTTGTAATAAAGATAAGTGATAACGAAATTAAGATTAAGAAAAAAAGGGAAGGCAAAATTGAAGATAAAAACAAAAATGAAGACAATGAGAAATGCATAAGTTACAAGTTATAAAAATTTATGGGATTATCGAAAATTATCAAGTTAATGACATTTATAATGTTGTCGATATTTATTGAATTTGTAGACTTAATGAAATTTATCGAGTTATCGTAATGCAAAGAGTTCTTTCAACTTACAGAGTTATCAATATTTATTGATTTGCTGAATTTTTTACGATGTATCGAATGGAGGTTTTTGAAATTTTCAAAATATACCCAGTTAGGGAAATTTCTAGTTTATATATAAGTATATCGGGTTATCACTGCTTATCGAGTTTTATCCTGTTACCAGAAAGTAACAAGTTTGAATTTTGATTGAGTTAGAATGAGATTGAAATTTGGAGGTATCAAAATTAATCGAGTATCGGAATTTATAGGGATATACAAATATTATCGAGTTATCAATTGATATCGACATATATACGCTTTTGAGTTACCGAAACTTATAGAGGTCTCGAAATGCACTATTAGCGAAATTTATCGACAATCATCGAAATAAGTCGAGCTATCCAGATTTTTTCTGTTATCGAAATTTAGAGTTTTTGAAATTTATCAAATTATCGATATATATCGGAAAAGTCATCGACAAACTGGAAATTATCGGGTCAATTCCAAGTCCGGCCAAAGTCCGTTAAATAATATATTCTTAGTTCTTATTGATCCTATAACGGAGAACGAAGCAAATCTTTGGAGTTTATTTGCACATAGACTAGCCGGTATGGTAGCGTGTTTGGAGGAGAAGCTCGGCAAAAGGTTAAGAGCCAAAAATGTAGCTATTATTAACAAAACATATTTATGTACAACAAGGACACTTTAACTACCACCCGCTAAGTGCTCTAACGGCAGCAACCATAATTCATGTTGTCAAAATGAGATCTCTGCAAATCCTTGAGCACAAAAAGGTGAACATGTAATAACTTTGTTTTTTGAAAACACTGGACACATCTAGTTTGAGTGGCAACATAAGAGCACTAAGCGTTCAGCGACAGTGGCAGTAAGCATAGTGCATGTCAATGCAATGCGAAATCCTTGACTTTGTCAACACTTGACCACTTGTTAACCAGCGGGGAGGGAGCCAATATGAAAGAACCCCAAAAGAGAGCGACAATTGTTAATAATGGCACAGTCAGCAGTTGGCGCTCAGCATACAAACGAATTCAGCGCAGAGTGCTCAGCAGTGTTGCCGTTTTGATACATATGTATACAATTGGATATATTAAATAAATATATTATATTTTCGCCTTAAATTTTGAGGAACACTTCGTTTTTTCCCTCAGTGTAATTTTGGATTATTTTTCCCATAATTATTCGTAAGTTGAAGGACATTTTTTTTTATTTATGTACGAGCTATTATAACGTTTTCAACAGTTGGCTGCTCATCCCCTAAGCAAGAAATTTTCCTTTATTTTTGTGACTTTGGAAAATTAATTTCTTTGCTACATAAACATGCATTTAATAATACCTAGTAATTTGCATATTTTAAAAGGTTTTCCGTTCTGTAGTGGTTAACTATAATTCGAAAAAATCAACTTTTACATCTCGAGCAACCCTTCTCTTAGCATTCAAAGGAAATTGACAACAATGCCGATGACTAATTTTCAAACAATAACTTGACTGTACTAAAAATAACCTATAACTTCTAAGTTTTCAGCTACATATATGAATTTAAGTGAGAATTAAAACACGCCGGAAATTGAGATATCTTTTAATTTCATAGATACCTTCTAATCCACCAGTTTGTTTGAAAAACATTAGGGCTGTGCAGGTACTTATGCATATGCTCTTGCATTTGCATATTCGTTGTATTTGTAAATTCCCAACAATAAAATGCACACGATGCCATGGCAGCAAGCCAAAATTTGCAAATGCAATTCCAACTGTAAATCCAGGACCATTTCCACAACATCCTGAACAGCCCTATTGTAATCATAATAGCAGAAATAAATAAATAGAAATAACAATTTACTGCACTGACAGCCAATTTCACGAAAGCAATTTAGGTGAAAAATAATTAAATTTTTATAAGGAAATCGGCAGAAAATAAAAAATTATTTTCCATTAAAATTATTGGTGAAACCGGTTATAAATGTAACAGGTCAAAGTTAGTTTCAATTGGTATTATTTTTATAGACTAGGAAACATTTTTTAAATATATTATTTGTAGGAATCTAATCGTAGTAATTGAATAACTGAGGGAGAGCGGGAGACCAGGTTTAAAGGCGACCATATATTAATTGGGGGACTCCATTGGAGGAGTCGTGCTCTAGCTGCCGTAGGCTGCTGTGCAATGAGCTGGGATTTATTTGGGGGGACTCCATTGGAGGAGTCATGCTCTAGCTGCCGTAGGCTGCTGTGGAAATGAGCTGGGGCGACTCCACTGGAGGAGTCATGCTCTAGCTGCCGTAGGCTGCTGTGCAATGAGCAGGGATTTATTTGAGGATGCATTCATGCAGAGCCCCAGTGTGGCTTGTAAGCCGGAGCTTACTACCATACCAAAAAGTACTCCGGGAGTGGAGTGGGAGCGATGCTCAAAGCACCGCGTGATAGCCAAGCTAGTTAAGCGTTGACCATCGTGATGAGCCAAGCTGGTTTAGCGTTGACCATCGTGATGAGCCAAGCTGGTTTAGCGTTGACCATGCTGAAAATGCCAGCGACTTATCACTTCACTAAGTTCAGCGAAGAGATATTTGAGAATTGCATAAAAAATGCATACCCAATTAAGAACGAGCGAAATACTTTTAAACACAAGTGCGTGTGTGTGTTCGCTGCACTTGGTTTATGCGGGAATGCAATATAAATGCGTGTGGGTGTTCGCTGTTCTTTGTTTATGCGGGAAATGCATAAGTCGCTTAAACAGTAATAAACATTGAACGTGCGGAAACTTTGGCACGTAGTTGTAGTCAGTATTTTTCCATTCTCAGAAACAGATCTGGGAAACAAAGACCCGTAGTTATAGAGTAAAAATTAAGTCAACACTAAAGTTAGTTTTGGCTTTTTTGACAGGTATCCCATCGAAATTTATGTCAACAAGCTGCAAATAACTTTGGAGTCGACTAAATGTTGATTATAACTATGGGCCTTTGTTTCCCAAAACCGTGTCTAAGTATACTGACTACATGCTAATAAGTTTGTTAAGGGGCCGAGTTTCCTTTCCATAGATGTACTGTGTAAAAATGTCCGCTCTTTTCGGTGGATACATTTGAAAACAGTTTTCGATTTTTTATGGATACAATATAAAGGCTCAGGCAGTGGCAACACTGGTGCTCAGTTGCTCAAATTTATGAGCAGAGAGAGCGCTTTTAATATGTTTTTGCAATGGCCAGACGTTACGTATACGCACTGCCTGACACAATGAGCAGACGCATTTACAATAGAGCAAAGAGGTATGTGGCACTAGTGTGTGTGTGTGTGTGTGTATGTGTGTGTCAGCATTATGGATACGGATATGAGGTACATCACATTTAGTGCAACTATGTACATATCAAAGAGCCAGCAGCTGGTCCAGTTCACTACATTTTCGATTCAGTTCAGCATGAGAGTCCAACGTTGGTAGACGTTTTAGTTGGCATACGCTTAAAAGGGTTATGAGAAATATTTTACATATGTACATATAATTGAAATAATGATAATAAATAAATTTGAATGAATATTATTTAATAGTAAAAATTTAATTATCGATTAAAGAAAAATTCCGCTAAAGCCATTTTTCGCAGCTCAAACAGCTCAACAGCGTGCAGCAAAATCAGTAAGCACGAAGTGATAAAAGAAAAATCAACACCTATTTAAGGCGCGAGTGTAGATACAAAAGCGAACAGTAAGCGTTGAACAGCGAGAGGCTGCAACCGAATAAACGGCAAGCATATAACGGATAACTGTTTTAATGACTTTGGAGTTAAACTCGCGAAGTTACCACTTACCATATGCAAGGCTATACGCGTGTTTGTGTTAAGCTGATCAAAAAAAATAAAAAAGCGGTTACAATTAAACAAATTTGTTAAAGATAAAAATTAGTAACCGGAAGTGAAACTGAAGCCATATTTTTTGGAAGCAGAACAAGTTTCTTAACGCATATGCTATTCAAAAATATATCTATACAAACACCAGTTGCCACTGAAGTTAATATAACGGTGTCCGACTGCAATATTTTTGCTTCCAACAGCCAAAACAGTGCTTCTGTGTCTTTATAAAACAATAGTTTCACACTTGCCAACACACTTAAAATTCAAAATGACCGAAGTGATTGAACTGAATGTTGGTGGCGTACATTATACCACCCTACTGGACACACTGCTGCAGGAGAAGTCCTCACGCCTACACGAACTATTTAGTAATCTAGATGCGCTGGTGAAGGACAACAAAGGGCGCTATTTCCTCGATCGCGACGGCGTACTCTTCCGCTATATATTGGACTATATGCGCGACAAGCAGCTCAGCCTGCCGGAGGGCTTCCGCGAACGACAGCGCCTGCAACGCGAAGCAGAACACTTCAAATTGGCCGGCATGTTGGAGAGTTTGCGCAGCGGCAGCGACATACGTCCACCTGGCTGCATCACAATTGGCTATCGTGGCAGCTTTCAATTCGGCAAAGATGGTCTGGCCGATGTTAAGTTTCGCAAGCTATCGCGCATTCTCGTGTGTGGGCGGGTGGCGTTATGTCGCGAGATTTTCGGCGATACCTTGAATGAGTCACGCGATCCCGATCATGGTGGTCCAGATCGCTATACATCACGTTTCTTCCTCAAGCATTGTTTTATTGAGCAAGCTTTTGATATGCTGCATGAGCGGGGCTTCCGTTTGGCGGGCAGCTGTGGTTCGGGCACAGCGGGCTCAGTGGCGGAACCCAAGCCGGGTGTAGATACTGAGGAGAATCGATGGAATCATTATAATGAATTTGTTTTTGTGAGAGAATAAAAAGCTGTTGACGACGGTAGACGGGCGGTGGGTAGGCGTTATGGTGCATAAGCAACAGTCGGTCGTTTGTTTGGGCTTTGAAAGCCAAAATAACTAAATAAGTGAGTTCTAGGGAGAGCGTATATATATTTGAAACATAGAAAACTGATAATGTGCATGTAAGTAAGTTCCATTGTAATTAGTATGTTAAGCGAATATATGGAGAAAAAACTATATATATGAAAAGTAGAATAAAAATGCAAAACGCATACCATGTAAGCTTAGTAACTGCAGCAAAAAATAACACATACCTACATAACGAAGGCTTATATTCAATACCCTCTATCTGACATTTTCTGGGCATTAACTTTCATTGATTTGATGTTAACTGTAACTTTGAAATTCAATAGTAAATTCTTCGGTTGATTTTTATATCAGAAACTGAATCTTGTGGAAATTGCAGATAAAGGGTATTGAATATAAGCCCTCGATAAGCAGACCGCAAGTACTTACAACCGCACGCTGTCCAAATTTTTCAGCCAGCAACAGTCCTCGAGTCCTAACTGACTGTAGACACAGAGCAGCATGTCAACGCTATCAATATTTCGTAGTCCAAAGCGAGAGGCGTGCGCGCGCGTTTGCCATAAATAAATGACATTTTTTATTTTTTTTTATTTTTTGTTTTCTAAATTAGCACTTACAACCTCCAAGTGCTGGTGTTAAATACCACTCAGCCTGCGGTAACTTTTTAACGCCTCTAGTTGCTTGAGAAGGTCAAAATATCTTTATTGCAAAGCAACTTGAAAGAGAAAAAATAATGAATGCCAAGTAGAAAAGTATTTCTTGGAGGCTTAAATGTGTAAGTAGTTAGAAACGCATGCAGCATTGCTGCTTTTATGAGTGCTACGCTGCGTAAATTATCCAAAGTTAAAATCTACAACTCGCTATGTAGGTACTGCGTAAAGTGGGAAAATACATGTATGCCTACATATAAAAATACGTACATACATACGTACATGCATCCATATGTTGCTCTAAGCATACTTTCATGCATTCGCTTTAAGTAGCAAAACGTGTGGCAATTAGCATAAAAAATAAGAGACATATGTCTATGCAAAATGCAAAATAATTATAACTGCCAGAGTACACATTTAGGTACTTATTCTGGTAGGCTGCGTGGAGGACTAAGTACTTAAGTAATACGAAAAGTGGACATTTGAATACCGTATTTATTTTTATCCAAAGCTTCCCCACTAAAATTGAGAGATAAGTTGAAGTAGGTTTTGTTTTCATATCAAAGGTTTAAGTGCATAAAAGGTATACAAAAATTAAAGAATTCTTGTATATGCATTTTTTTACGTTAAATAATGCAATGCAAAATTATATATCGTCCATCATTAACTTGGATTATGGTAAGTTAGGTTGAACAGGCTGTCGGTCGGCTCAATAGCACACGTGGACCCTTATTCCTTATTATTTCAATATTTCTCAGCTACAAGATCGCAAAATTATTGACAAGACTCCAATATGTTTTCTGTAGCATATTACAATTAACCTTAAGTCGTTTCATATCACTCGTTACGCGATTAGAAAACAGACGTTGATCATACACCTGGCGGCCACATTCGATGTTTCCTTTCTCGATATGCCTTTTCTTGTATAGATGCCTTGGGTTGGATCGCTGATAATTTTTTCTTCTTTCTCGATAGGCGATATAACCACTTAAGCAATTTTGAAGCGAGTTGAACATAGCACGCCAATCGTTTCTTTGCTGTGCTAATTGACACCAATTGGAAATTCCAACTAAAGCCAATTGCTTCTTCAACTGGTATTCCCAGCACAGAGAAGGCCTTGTGCTGTCTTTGCTACATACTGCATACTGTGTCAGGGCTGGGACATTTTTTTCCATTCATACCAAATAGCCAGAATAGCCGCTATATGTATGTATTTAGATTTGGTTAAAGTTTCTGTTTCCATGCCAGCGTGCAATAAGAAGTTAATAGGCCCACTTAGGCCTGTAGGTTATGAGACGGTAAAAAAAGAAGTTGATTTTTAAAGCCACAATGGATTATCACACGAGGTTTGTTAACACTTTTCGTTAGGATTCGTTCTTACAAGGGGAGTTCCAAGCGCCCAACATATTTCTGGGAGAGCCTGAAAGTTGTACTTACATACTTACATAAACCGAACCGCTTGCTCACAGAAACACACCCGCGTGCAGCTCCACCTGCGGGACCCACTGGTGTAGTGACGCTGTTGACTTCCGTTATTCCTAAAACTGGATAAGTCGAAGTGGTTCCACCGAGGGTACCTCTATTTCTGGCGTGACCTAGCGGTTGGTAACAAAAGCTACAGGATTGAGAATGGTTATGCATCCGTTACTGTATACCAAGAAGAGTGACCATAACCCATTACATTACATTTTCGTTGCCAGGTAGGAGAAATTGGCATTTTCATAGTTTTGCAATTTTTTGGCATAGCAATTTTAAATACTTTACGGTTTAACATAAACTATTTGGGGTAAATAGAAGGTTGTGGAAATGAAGTCGCATTAAGGACGAGAGTGCTTAAGGTTACGCCAACTTATGCTTCCTGCTTATGGTCTCAGCATATGGAGTGTTGAGCCAATCCAAAAAGCTAACCTGGAAACCCAAATCAAAACCCAATTTTATTTTGGGATGTCCTCGTGCGGTGAAATGCAATAGATAAGCCCTTTTGGTTAATATAGCTGGAGGGAATGCGAAAAGCTGTATGAGGCGCACTCTCGACTACCTTTACTCCTGCGCTTAACACGAAGATTGTATACAAGAAGACAAAAGTTGACTTCCAACCCCAGGCACGCCGAGATTTTTTCAAGCTTTCAGGTCATCCCAGCTTTAACCGGCTATTGCATACCGATGCTGGCTGGCAACATTCATGAAATCAAACTTAAGTTCACTTACTAACTATTCCTTATTTACTTACGTATGCACGCATGTATGTATGTATGTACATATGTATGTATGTATATACGAATTGTGGATTTTCAAAAACTTTAATGGACTAATTGTAGCGCTGAATTTAGATGATTGTTCGCAAAACCTTTTGAACGAATGCCAAATATACAAGTAAGAGTACTTTGTAAAACAAAATAAGAAGATATGTGTAAATAAGTGCATCCACATATCATTGCTAAGTGGATGAAAAACTTAAATTGAATGATAATATTTACAAACACTTTGTTGATATGAAAATGAATTAAATAAAAGTATTAAACTAATATTAGTACGGGTCTTAGCATTTAAAAAAAAAAATAATAATAATTAAATTAAACTACAAAACTAAAATAAGTAAAATGGATTTTAAACGAAATTGCAGCTGTGGCAAATTTGTGGCTTTAGTGCCAAAAGAACGAAAAATTTATTATGGTGTTAATTAGTGGTCACAAATTTGCAACTGTTGCCAATTGAAATAAATTAATAAATACTAAAAAAAAAACATATGAGTAGCATAAATTAAACAAAAACCCCTGCAAACTTACATCAAAAACAATGACTTTGTAATTGGATACAAATTGATTGAAATCATAAATCAACTACAAACTGAAGGCAACAAAACTATTTATGTATTTAAACACTAAAAACAAAAGGCAAACAAAAATAAAAAATATAGCTGAGCAAACAAAACGCATTAGTGGCTGACAGAAGTTTATAAGAACACATGTAAAATGAATAATGGATTGCATTGTTAAAATAGCATAATTGAAATTGTTATAATACATAGATAATGATTAAGGCAGTAGTAGGCAGTAACAGCAACAAAAGCAACACAAACAAGCGTACTACAATAATGGCACAATGCGAACAAAAACTAATGTAATAAATGAGTTTATCTACAAAAATATTTAAGCACACCCAAGGCAAATATATGTATGTATGTACGTTTGTATGTATTTATTTGTTTGTTGCTTGAAAGAAAATAATTAAAATCAACGCAAATGATAGCCAAACGCTAATGTAGAAAATAGAAAGAGAAAAGCCGACATTTTTAGAAATGCAAGCGAAAATGGGAAACAAAAACAAAAACCAAACAACTAAATTGAAATAAAATGTGAGCATTTTCAAGAGGCGTTGAATGACAGCAGTCAAAACAACAGCAAAAGCCTTAAACCCGAACCACACAACAATCACCACTGGATAATGGAACCTGAACTATTTAACTACAACACACCACCAGAATTGGCAGCCAACATCCCACCTAAAATACGAGTATCTAATGCGGCTCTACGCTCTAATCTCAATTTTCTATTTTATGTATGTATTTGTGTGTACATATGGATATATATAATTATATATATGGGTATCTATGTATGTATCAAAATAGATATATGTATGTATGTATATGTTTGCTTGTAAATGCAATGCCTAATAAAATGTTGGTTTGCTTGCGGCAGCTTAACACGCAGCCCCTTACGGTGGTAGGGGATAGCAAACCAACAACTCTACTACTATGTATGTATATGTATAAGTTACGTAACAAATCATCATTTGGAATGTAGCAACTTTTCGCATTTGTTAAAATAGTTGCACAAATTATGGCACAAGTTGTTATGACAAATGGGGAATTTGGGAATGGGCAAAGGAAGAGTATAGTATATTTTGAAAACGTAAGATAAAATATTAAAAAAGTGCTGGCTCTTAACAAAAGAAAATGTTTAAATAAGTAAATGAAAGCAACACTTTCAACTAATAACAGAGCTTATATTTTATTTGCAAAAGTGTTCATTTGGCAGCAGCAGTGAAACGTAAAGATATTTCGAAAGGATTATTATCTGAGTCTTGCAAAGCACTGGCACGGTGCACGGATTTCACGGCTTGCAAAGCTGCCCCATACGAAAAGCGGTTTTTACCGTGCAATCTGTGGACCGTGCAAGGGCTTTGCAAGACTCAGAGAATACCTCTAATGTTTTTGGGAAAAGGTGATCAAAAATAAAATTAAAAAAGGAAAAATTCACTTAAGGTCAAATGGAAAATAACCAATTTTTTTATTTGATGACCAAAAAAATTTGCATGTCAAAATAGCAGTGACCCAAAATACAAATTATTTCCTGGTGGAGCTTTAAAAAGTCAACCAAATTTTCGTAAAAATTAGAAAATTATTTGTATGATATTTATAAGTGAGAAAAATTTATTAAGTTATCGGTAGCTATTATTTTGAGACTTATATAATAAAAGTATTATAACTCAAAGAACTTTATTTTGAAACTTATGTATATATAGTCATGTGAAAAATAACAAGGGCACGATATTTTGTTTTTACTATTTTTCTTTTGTTTGTTTAATGTTTGTTTATTATTTACGTCGGAATAATTT